ATCAAAGCGTTCGTTTTCTAACGTCAAAGCGATTCAAACTAATTTCTTCATGGCATCACTTTCTACTCGTTCAAGGCGCATTTCAGATCACCTGAACGGAATCTCCGGGAGGGTGCACAGAAATAGACTGGTTCTGCGGCGCACACGTTGTACCAATTTGAGACAGGGCCGAAAAACCTTAGTGGTGCTTCCAAGACCCCACCCCTTACCCGTGATCCCCCTCAGAAATGGCGTATGGAGGCTGTAAAAGAGCATGGAGGATCAATTTTTGCATAGATGGCTGGCCTCCTCACAGCTTCACAGACAAACAGCGGAATTTAGCTACATGTATACCACGGAGCGTCATATTAGCTGTGGGGGGAAGGGGTGAAAGGGGCGTTAGGAAAACGATGGTAACTGTTCTCCGTGGTCTGCGCTCTCTCATCGAAATCCTGTGTGGTCACACATTTCAGTCTTGCACGCAGTTCAAAAGGCTTGCCTCAACGTTCACCCTTGATCTATAAACTCCTCCCTTGGCTGACTTCGTTTCGCTCTGGTACTATTGCATCCTCGATGAGAAGGCACACCTAGCAGAAGATTATCAGAAAGCCAAAAGAAAACGGGCGCTACCTACCGACCTTTCGCTCTCTTGCAACCCCTCCCCACACCTCCCCTCCCTCTTCGAACAATGGGGGCACCCACTCCAGCAGCGATATTTAGGTTATTTTCGCTACAGATCTGTCAATAGGTGAGGTCTGCTTGGAGTAACTTTACCATCTTTCCCTCTCCAATTTCCCTGTTCTGCCTGCTTCGTTTTTTTTTCTGAAGCTATTGCTAAACAGTACTCATTCGGATAAAAGCCTTATTACCTAATGAAGGCCAAGTCCGGGATCAACTTGGTGTGCTAATACTAGGCTTGTGATAGTGAAGTTGTGAAGTGTAGCGGTAGCAATGAAGAAAATGAATAAAAACACCGACAAGGAGGAAAATAAAGTCCCCCACTTCAGCAGCGGCGAAGCGAAATGGCTATATGGGGAGGTCATTTATGTCGGGCGGGGCAGATGCTACATCCTAGGGCCTTAGCCTTCGTCCTTGTTAGATCATCTTGATATCTGTGTACATGCTCCACGCATGCGTACCACTGCGTTTTTCTGGGAGGAAGGTTTATTTCAAACAAAAGTTCGAGCCTTGTCGTTAATTACTTGATACAGAGTTGTAGTGGGCAGTCACCGAGTAATTAGACCTGATTCCAGGTGAAAAAGTACAGCCAAATGCTGTAGAGAAACCGCTGCCAAAGGATCTGAAAAGTAGCCCTCTCTATCAGAGAGTATTGCAGCACTGATGGCGAAAGTGAGAGGCAGGAAAAAGTCCAGAAGTGTAGGTTTTGCCAGTTCGTCGAACATCTTCTTTTCGTATTACCTTTCTGCAAGTTCTACAGAATGGCGATCGATGGGTTGCGTATTTGCATAACAACATATGATGCTTTCAGCTTCTGAGTGTTTGCTTCCTCATTTGCATATTAACAGATAATGCTTCTAAGTATTCAATTGCTGGTTCCTTATTTTACATATTAGCGGACGATTTCTAAAATGCAAATGCTGTCATATGAGAGAAATAGCGTTGAAAAAGAAGAGAATCTGAGATCTGAGAAGAGATCTGTGTGTTGTCGGCTAAGCTGTATATAAGTCGCACCTGAATCAATATATTTCACTTTTCAATGAAGCCTTGAAAATCGTCTCCGTCTTCCACCGTTCCAAAAAGGTGGCGACCACGGCAGGATTCGAACCTGCAATTTTGTGCACCCTCCTGATACTACTCCAAATACAAGTAAGCATCGAGTGTTCCCAGTTCACTTCCTTAACTGCAAATGAGCACGTTTGCGCCATTCCCAAGAACACGTGGAATGGTTCACCCCGAGAGAAGAGCTTTTCTCGCCAGAGAAAGAACATTCGCTAGTAATTCCCAAGACCTTAATGAGTATTTCGAAAGCAATGGTATTGGTAAGATAGCAACAATCCAGAACCTTCTCGGTCTGAAATGGGACACTACAATGGACACGCTAACTCTCCAGTTCCCCTC